GTGAGTGGGCCCTGGGTGCCTGGGACCCGGGCACGGACCGCTGCTGCTGGGTGGGCCCCAGAGAGACGTGCAACGCAGTGGGTCATCCTCACTAGCTCTGGAGCCAGACTGCCTGGGTTCAAATCCCTAGCTCTGCCTCTTGCCAGTTGTGTGGCTTTGGGGGAGTTATTCACCCTCTCTGAACCTGCAGTTCCTCCTCTGTAGGGATAGTAATGACACCTATCCCATAGCCTCATTGTGAGAATTAAGTGACTTGCTAATGTGTAAAGTCTTAGCCGAGTTTTGGCTGATGGTAAGGGCTCAATAGGGCTTCCTGATGACGCAGACGGTGAAGAATCTGCCTGCAGTGCGGGAGACCTGGGTTCAAAACCTGGGTTGGGCAGATTTCCTGGAGGAGGGCATGGCAACCCACTCCAGTATTCTTACCTGAAGAACTCCATGGTCAGAGGAGCCTGGCAGGCTATAGTCGATGGGGTCACAAAGAGTCGGACACAACTGACTAAGCACAGCACAGCACAAGGGCTCAATAAATGTTGGTCAAGTGACTCTCCAGAAACTAGCGGAGGCTCTGGAGGATAGGCGTAATAGAGGAGGCAGCCAGAGCGAGTCAGCTGGGTCTGGGAGACTGGTTTCCTCCCACTAGTCATCATTAAAACTCTTCCTGGAGAGTTTTAATGCCCACTTGGGATGCCCGTTCTTCTTCCCTTATGCTCCCCATTCCAGTTTTCCAGGCCCTGTTCCCAAGAGCCCCCTGCCAATCCCTTGGCAACTTGTCCCGTGTCCTGAAACCTCCCGGTGTCTCGTGCTGACACCTCGAGGTCCCCAGTGCCGGTGTCTGTCCCTGAAGTCCTTCCTTCTGTCTCAACCCTCCCCTACTCCAGTCCTGCACTTCTTCCTGGATGGCCGCTGGGGCACAAGCCGTGAGCGGCTGGCCATCAGCAAGGACCAGCGAGCGGTGAGGAGTGTCCCAGGGCTGCCCCTGCTGCTGGCTGCCGAGCGGCTGCTGACGGGCTGCCACCTGAGCGTGGACGTGGTCCTGGGCGATGTGGCTGTGACCCAGGGCCGCAGCTACTGGGCCTGCGCCGTGGACCCAGCCTCCTACTTGGTCAAGGTGGGCGTCGGGCTGGAGAGCAAGCTTCAGGAAAGCTTCCAGGGTGCCCCCGATGTGATCAGCCCCAGGTCAGGCCCCTCTGGGAGGTATGGGGTTCGGGGGATCTGGGTGGGGGAGCTGGGAACACGTTGGGGTGACAAGGGGAGCACACGCTTGCTGGGATAGAGCTGGAAGATCAGGAGGAAGTAATGTGAGCCAGGTTGGAGGCACTGTGGTCAGGAGAAATGTGGGCTCAGTGAAAGCATTTTGGAGGTTGATCTTTGGAGTGACTGGGGAAAGGGACAATAGAAAAGGAAGCCATCTCCATGTCCCTCCATCTGTCACTCAGGCTAACACACCATCTCGCCAAGTCTCCATGTCCTTTCTCCCTCACACCCCTTTTGCAGCATCTTTTTACCTCAAAGCTTTTTCTCTCCAGGACTTCCTTCACCCACACCTTTTCTCAGCCTCCTCAAATTCTTCCCTTAAACTTTCCATCTCCATACCCTCTCATCCCCAACATCCTATTTTCCACCCACCCACACATGCTCTTCTTCCTCCTCAGCACTCTATCCAATACCCCATTTCTTCAGAAGTGCCTTCTCTTCAGCATCAGTTCCCTCCTAAACCTGTGATCCCCAGCCTGCACCCCTGCAACATCCTTCATCTAAGACACTGACCCGCCTTCATCTCTCTCCCAACATCCCCCTTCCCAGCATGTTTTCTCTGCTCCCCCCTCTCCCCACCGCTAACCCCTCATCCTTCCAAGATTCTCTAACCCTCAAAACCCTCTCCCAGCACAGTATCCCAGCACCATTTTCTTCACCACTTGCCTACATGGGAAGCACTGCCTTTCTTCAGCGTGCGTGAGCGATACCCTGTCTTTTCTCCCCTTCCCCCAGCCCTCTGGCCAATGTGCTTGCCTTTCCCCATTCTCACCAAACCAAACCCCCAGCCCTATATTATAACCCCTGTCTCTTCAATGTACTTTCTTCTCAATGCCCCCAAATCAGTCCTTGGAACTGCTTGCTCCCGACATTCCATCCTCCCAACATCTCAGCCCTTGGGTACCATCTACCCAATACCCATTCCTGCAGGTACGACCCGGACAGTGGACACGACAGCGGTGCCGAGGATGCCACTGTGGAGGCGTCGCCGCCCTTCGCGTTCCTGACCATCGGCATGGGCAAGATCCTGCTGGGGGCCGGGGCCAGCTCGAACGCGGGGCTGACCGGGAGGGACGGCCCGGCGGCCAGCTGCACAGTGCCCCTGCCGCCCCGCCTGGGCATCTGCCTGGACTACGAGAGGGGGCGCGTTTCCTTCCTGGATGCCGTGTCCTTCCGAGGGCTCCTGGAGTGCCCCCTGGACTGCTCGGGTCCTGTGTGCCCTGCCTTTTGCTTCATCGGGGGTGGCGCAGTACAGCTACAGGAGCCCGTGGGCACCAAGCCCGAGAGGAAGGTCACCATTGGGGGCTTCGCCAAGCTGGACTGACCCTCCCGGGCCTCTGCGGGGCCCTGGCCCCCCACGCCTCCCGAAGCCGGGTTCTCTCTCTGGTCGCTTCTCCCTCCAGCTCTTCTTCCCACGTGGTCCTGTCCCTCCCCTATCTGTGTCTTCCCATGGTCTTTCTTGACCAAGGGACTCTCCTCTGCTCACCTCTCTGGATGTCCCCCATTCTCCCTATTGCCTGTTAATCCGGGTTCCCGCCCCCACCACGTCTCTGCCCCATGCGCTGCCCTTGGCATCTTGCCCGAATCATGGAGGGAGCCCCTGCCCCACCCCTGCCCTGTGCTCCTCCCCAGGCTGGTTGGGAGGGAAGGCACCTGGAACACTGGGCTTGCTCGCCAGCTCTGCCCTCCGCCCTGCAAGCTCCTTGCCCCATCCGTGCTGAACTGCAGCCTTGGGGCGGAGCGGCTTTTTGGCTGGACAGCGCCCTCACTCTTTGGTGAGGGAGAGGGACCCTCTCATCCTGCTTTATTTATTTGGGTCCCTGTACCCCCAGCCGCATGCCTTTTATCCCCCTCTTTGCCCACTTGCATGCTTTAACCTGTCCCGCACCCATGCCAACGTGCCAAGTCTCCCTTGGGGTCCCAGCTGAGGTTGAGTGTCCCCACTGGGTTGCGCCTGGCAAGGCCTCTGGTGCCTGCTGCTGCCCCCCTGCGGTGAGCACTGCTAGGCCTGTGCCAAGCAACAGCTGTTATTTTCATGGTTTATAAACAATAAACTGTGATGCCAGGCCTTCCTGTGATGTCTGCCTTCCCGGAGCCCATTCCTCTTAGCTTCTGTGCTGGATGTGGCAGGCCAAGGGAATGGAGGGTTCCCTGCTATTTCTCAGAGCAGGGGTGCACGGTGGAGCTGGTGCCTGAGGGAAGGAGGTCCTCAAGCCCTGTGCTCCCCAGTTTTCTGCCACACCTGTGCCCAGCCCAGGTCCAAACCGACCGTGGCCGCCAGGGGGCACATCGCTCTGGTGGCTGCTTGCATCAGACGCCCACCCTCCCACCACCACCACCCCCCCATGGGACGTCTGGGTGGAGCCCTGCAGGAATGTGACTTAGGGTGCCGTCCCCTTGCCTGGACCCAAAGAAATCAGGGGCTTCTGGCACAAGGCCTTTCTGTGTTCCTCCATTTCTTGAATTATAGGAAACAGCCTTCATTCAGCCTCCATGACCTTCCCTGAGTTCCAAGGGGCAGATTCAAGCAGTTGTTAGTTAGAGAAAGGAGGGAATGGGAGACCAGAGAGAAACAGTCAAGAACAGCCTTGAACAACACCCTGTTTCCCCATCAATGGATATTCGCAATATCTTTCAGCTGTTTTGTAGAAACTTATATCCCCTGCAGGTGGGAAAAGTTAAAGATGGTATGTAGACCCCAGAGCAGCTGGTCCTGAAGGCTGATGATGCTGAATTCCAGCTACCTCACCACCAACCCATCAGAAAAATGTCCATGAGCTGATCACATGCTCTTTGAGCAATTACTGTAAATCTCCAACTTGGGACATATGGTTTTGAGGGCATTAGCCCACTGTGGCCGCCTTCACCTGGCAACACAATAAAGCTATTCTTTTCTACTTCACCTAAAACTCTGTCTCAGAGATTCGATTCAGTCCCGGTGTACAGAGAAGCTGCGCTTTTGGCATCAGTGCATCAGTCAGGAAGTGTGTGCATGCTCAGTCATGTTTGACTCTCTGTGTCCCCAAGGACTGTAGCCCGCCAGGCTCCTCCTCCGTCCATGGAAGGCAAGAATACTGGAGTAGGTTGCCATTTCCTTCTCCAGGGGATTTTCCCAACCCAGGGATTGAACCTGAGTCATATCTCCTACATTGGCAGGCTGGTTCTTAACCACTGAGCCATCTGGGAAGTCTTTGACTTCAGAACCAGAACTAGTTCCCCATTCCTAGTCTACTAGGTGGTAGACCCCAGAGCCAGTAGGCAGGTGGGGCAGTCTGGCGCCAGGCCCTGGATCTGACACGGACCTTATCATGGCCCTGTTGACTCTGCTGCCTTAGGACTTACTTCACACCCGGACAGCTAAGAATAGAGCCGCCTGAGGGCACCATGCCAAGGGGAAAGCAGGGCGCGGGAGTGAAATCCAGGCCCGGGGATAGGGGCGAGCCTGGCTCTCGGGCAGGCAGAGCTGGGTCATGCTGGCTGCTGGAGCCTCGGGCTTTTGTTTCCTCCTTCCTCATGTGCTGCCAGCCATGCAGGAGAGGTGACAGGAGTCTGTCCGCCTGCACTCCAATGTCATCTCTCCAGCCTCCTGCTTCTCAAATGAACCCCGCTCCTCTGCCCTTCTTCCCTTCCCTTCCTCTCCCAGAGGTCTCTGCCAGACCTCCCCCCAACACACACACACATTTTGACTGCCCCTCACCCATCCACAGGTCACAGACAACAGATCAGAAGCTGGTAGTGGGCTCGGAGGAGGCCCGCATTTTATTCAGCCATGTTCACGTTCCCACTCCCATCTCCAAGCATTCCAGGCAATCCTCCTGGGAGCCGCTGCCTCTGGCATGTCCCCAGGGGCTCAGGCGGGCTTCACCAGGGCTAAGATGGGTTAGGGGACTTGGTGGGTCCTGTGAGGGAAGCTGTGAGCAGCCCACCTGAATGCCCAGCTCACTAGCCCAGAACAGAGTTGGGGGCAGGGGTCCTCAGAAGTGAAGAATTCCAGAGAGGTAGCCAGTACTGGCTGGACTCTCAGCAGACAACATGTCCCTACAAGTTGGCAGAAGTGGCTGCCAGGTTTGTATAAGAGAGGTTCCCACCGTTGCCTGCAGAAACCTAGGTAGGGGCAGAAGAGACTGGGATGAGCCACAGAGGCTTTCCTGGGACAACCTTCCTCCCCAGGGTCCCTGGATGGCACCGTAGGATGGGGTGAATGGTCCAGGAGCCTGACTAGCTTTCAAAGGGTTAATCTGGAGAGAGCACCTGCTGGTCACCACCAACAGCCAGATGACTGTAAACAGCCACTCCCCCTCCTCCTCCTGCTCTGGTTCACTCCCTCCCCTTGGCTCTCAGCACCCCTGCTTTCCCCTCCTGCCCCTTTCTCCCTCCATTCTCTGCTCTTTCAGCCCAAGGAGGTATACGCATTTCTGCAAAACTGGAAGAAGGAAGTCCTCAGGCAGAGGAAAATTCAGGAAAAGGAAACTCTCCCTTCCCTCACTTGGAGTGGCCTTTCAGCCCCAGATGGCAAAGTAATTATTTACTAGGTCATGGAGGGAAAGGCAGAAAGAAGGAAGGGGTGGGGTCTGGGCCTCCCCACCTTGCACCCAGGCTCACCTGGCTTGGTGAGACTTCTTTCCCAATTCAGAGACACCCCCCCCTCCTCCCCATCAGCCTTTCCCAATCTACCCTCCATTCTTAGGAGAAAAGCTGGGGCAAGGTGCTCCTTCCATGAAGGGCTCCCCTGGGTGCAGTGCCCTATTCATGTCACCTCTGGGCATCCCAGTTCAGCTGAGCAGTGAATGCTCTTCTGGGGGTGCTGGTTGTGGGGGGCACACCCTCCTGAGGCCCCCCTTCTTCCCTAAGCCTTTCCCACAGAACCCCTCTGACCTCCACCCCAGCCTTGTCAGTCTCTCACTGCTTATTTCACATCACCTCTTCTAAGTTCTTTAGGTTTTACCCAGTACCCTTTCACAACCACTGCCCAAAGCCTCACCGCACGCCCACCTCCCTCACCTCCTCATAGGGGCTCCGTTTGGTACTGCCAGGGGGCACATAGCGCCCATGGGTGTGGTAGGTGGAGTACTCGCTCATAGGATGGTAGGCATCCAGGGTTGGAAAGATGTCCATCTGCTCACATTTCTTTCGTCCGCACTGACACACAACCTGGGGAGACAGGAGGTTATGGGGGACGTGAGGTTCCTTCCAGCAAGGGGACTCTGGTCAGGGCTGGGGATTGAGCACTTACCAGGGCAATGAGATAGATGATGGCCAGCGCCACCAGAACACAGACCAGCACCAGCAGGGCGATGCCCCAAGCGGGCACCCCAGACCCAGGCTGGGCAGAGGAAGGAGACAAGGCATCACGCACTGAAAGGAAAAGCAGTGGTCAGAGCGGTCTCCCAAAGGAGGTGACTCTCCCCCACCAGCTCCAAGAGAGAAAGCAGGGACCCAGATGCTGGAGAGAGAGGGTCCCGGGCAGGGCGGTGCTGGCTCGCAGCTGGGGAAGTGGACTCACCACTAACTTCAGTGATGGTCAGGTTATATTTGACTGCCTGTGCTTCAAGCTGACTGAGCTGTGCCTTCACCCATCCAGCAGTGGTATTCTCTCGGAAGACCAGAGTTAATTCTGCCACCACAGATCCTGGCCTGGTTACAAAGAAATGGGGAACTCAGCCATGGGTCCCAGTTTCTGGGTCAGTACATCCTCCCCACAGTCATGACAACATCCACCAGTCCCACAGAGTCCACAGCCAGAACTGTACCTGAACTTGATCTCTGAGAGGCCCAGAAAATCCCTCTCCCTCCGTTTATAAATCTTCGAAAACTGGGGTGAGAGAAAAAGGACTAAGATTTGATGCAAGTGACTCAAAGAGTTCTGAAGGCTGCTTTGGGGGTGGGGGGTGCGTGTTAGAGGAAAGGCAGCTACTCACCAAGTCCAAAATGCGTCTCTGCAGCTCCTGATAGTAGCCGGTTTGGGGATCTTCCAGGGAAGAGTTAAACTGGAGGTTTGTAATGCGAAAAGAGAGGGAGAACAGGAAGACCCTAACAGGCAACTGTTGGGGGCTAGTGCTGCTGGCAGCTGTCCTGGTAATGTGGCTGGCAGCAGAGGTAGCAGTTTCAGAGCTGGGAACTGAGGATGGAGTGCCCTTGCTGCCTGGGGTCATGGTAGCCCTGGATGAGGTGCCCTTGTGTGCTGAAGTGACCATGGAGCTCAAGGTAGAGCTGGTGGTCACAGATGAGGTGTCACTGCTGGTTGGGGACGAGGCGCCGTGGTGACCTGCAGAGGCAGTAGGGCTTGGGGCAGGGCTGCCGGTCGGAGTCGAGGCTCCGTCGTGGCTGGGAGAGGCAGCCAGGCTTGGGGCAGGGCTGCTGGCTGGAGACAAGGTGCCATCATGGCCTGAAGAGGCAGTAGCGCTTGAGGTAGGGCTGCTGGTCAGGGATGGGAAACTATCATGGCCTGGAGAGGCAGCTGGGGTTGGGGCAGGGCTGCTGGTCATAGTCAAGGTGCCGTTGTGGCCTGGAGAGGCAGCTGGGGTTGGGGCAGGGCTGCCAGTTGGGGTCGAGGCTCCATCGTGGCCTGGAGAGGCAGCCAGGCTTGGGGCAGGGCTGCCGGTCGGAGTCGAGGCGCCGTCGTGGCCTGGAGAGGCAGCTGGGTTTGGGGCAGGGCTGCTGGTCGTAGTCAAGGTGCCGCTGTGGCCTGGAGAGGCGGCCAGGCTTGGGGCAGGGCTGCCAGTTGGGGTCGAGGCTCCATCGTGGCCTGGAGAGGCAGCCAGGCTTGGGGCAGGGCTGCCGGTCGGAGTCGAGGCGCCGTCGTGGCCTGGAGAGGCAGCTGGGTTTGGGGCAGGGCTGCCAGTTGGGGTCGAGGCTCCATCGTGGCCTGGAGAGGCAGCCAGGCTTGGGGCAGGGCTGCCGGTCGGAGTCGAGGCTCCATAGTGGCCTGGAGAGGCGGCCAGGCTTGGGGCAGGGCTGCCGGTCGGAGTCGAGGCGCTGTCGTGGCCTGGAGAGGCAGCCAGGCTTGGGGCAGGGCTGCCAGTCGGAGTCGAGGCTCCATCGTGGCCTGGAGAGGCAGCCAAGCTTGGGGCAGGGCTGCCGGTTGGAGTCAAGGCGCTGTCGTGGTCGGGAGAGGCAGCCAGGCTTGAGGCAGGGCTGCCAGTCGGAGTCGAGGCTCCATCGTGGCCTGGAGAGGCAGCCAGGCTTGGGGCAGGGCTGCCGATCGGAGTCGAGGCTCTGTCGTGGCCTGGAGAGGCGGCCAGGCTTGGGGCAGGGCTGCCGATCGGAGTCGAGGCTCCGTCGTGGCCTGGAGAGGCGGCCGGGCTTGGGGCCGGGCTGCTGGTCAGAGACGGGACACTGTCATGGCCTGGAGAGGCGGTTGGACTTGGGGCACGGCTGCTGGTCAGAGATGAGGCATCATCGTGGCTGGGGGAGGCAGTCGGGCTAGGGTTGGGGCTGCTGGCTGTGAGTAAGGTGGTGGTTGTGCTCCAAGAAGTTTCTTAAAATAAATAAATAAATAAATAAAATTAAAAAAAGAAAAAGAAGTTTCTTTAGTGGGATTGGACATTGGGCTGCCTTGTGTACTGGAAGCCTGTATAGTTCAGCTGGGGTCAGAGGTTGTTACAGGAGTGCCATTGGCAGCTGTAAGAAATCAAGGTTACAGAGTATGGTTGGGGGACAAATCAGCATAAGAAGAAAATACATTCTCTGGCATCTGGGGAAGTAATGCCAGGAGGATTTGGGGAGTGGGCCCCTGAGTCAGCTTTCTCCTTCCCTGCTGGCAACCTCCCTCTCTCATCCCATATCTGTCTGCTCCTGGACTGTGGGCTTTTCCACTCCTAAGATTTTCCTCTCCTGATTCCACCCCCAACCCCTCCAGACTTCTCTTCAGGACATACGCCTGCTCCTGGCACCCACTCTCCTCCAGGTGTGTGTGTGGGGGTCTCTTCTCAGGTTTTCTTAGCCTCACTCCTTTATTCTTTCTTCTGGCAAAGACTAGGCCACCCCTGTCTGCAACTTCTGCCTCTTGGATGCCATCTCCCAGGAAGCGAAACCCACAGAGAGTTGGGAAGACCACAGAGCAGGGCAGCCCCCTCCCCACTGTGCGCCCCTCACCTGTCAGCACTGGGAACAGCAGCAGCAGGAAGAGGAAAGGGGCCTGGATGTCCGGTGTCATGGTGGTGCCGAAGTGGTGGGGAGGGGACAGAACAAACTCAGGCCGGAGCTGCCCACGAGGTGGAGCGGACACAGGCACCAGCTGCTTTATACCGGTCCCCCGCCCGCCCTAGGCTCAGCCAGAGCAGGTGACAGGTGACAAGGCTCCACCCCCTCCCCCTTTCCCTACCTCCAACCTCTTCCTCCTCCTCCCCAACCATTTCTGGCCCCTTAAATAAGGTATGTGGGCTTCAATCACTCAACTCTCTGACAACCTGTTTGTTTTCTGACTGGCCTCCCCCCTTTGACCAACCACTCCCTGGCTCCAGAAGGTGGTGGAGGAAGTCTGGAACCTGACCTGGGTCCCCCTGGTCCTATTTTAGCCCCAGGACAACAGCCTTGGTGAGGAAAGTAACAGAGAAAAAGGACTAAGTCGAAGTCTTAGCCCAAGGCCGGCATTGTGGGTCCTCCACACCATTGTTCCATTCTCACTGGGTCGCTTGGAGTCCCACTCTGGGGGCTGAGAAAGGAGGGGAAGGCTCGCCAATGAGTAAAGTCGGTGCTAGTTTTGGACCCCTTCCCCCCACTACTTCCCGGAATAGCCCCACCCTCTGACCTCTCCCTGTCCAGTTCCACACACGGTTCTACCCCGAAACCCACAGTCCCCGCCCCCGCAGGGCTTTCCAGCAGCCCAAGTTCCTTCCTTGACTTTCTCTCGAGAAGGGGGCGGGGGAAGAAATTTCCACTTAGAGAAATACGAAATCCCACCAAACCCTAGGATCTTTCCTTTCCCCGAATCCACCAGGTAGCGGCGGCTCTCTGGCCGGGCTCTCCCGCCCTCTAGCGGTCACCGAGAGCTTCACCCGGCCTACCCGAGAGGGCTGAGGGGCTGCCCGGGTCAGGGGAGAGCAGGCTGGGTGGCACTGCCTAAGTGGGGGCAGAGAGAGACTGGCGAGAGCAGGCCCTGGCCAGGAGAGGCAGTGGCTTGGACAGAGAAGGGGAGGAACACACTGTGTCATCGATGGAGGGGTTGGGGGTTTTAGGAGAGCACTCAGACCTGTCGCGGCGCCGTCTGGAGGAAATGGCACTAAGTGGGTGGGGTCCTGAGTTATGTGGAAGGGGCACCCAGGTATTTGGGCGAGGACATCGGAATGTGGGAGGCAGAATGGGGCAGATTAGTTACGCATTTAGGAAGCAGAGAATAGGTGGGGCGACAGATGGTATTGAGGAGCACGAAACTATCCTTTGGAGAGCAGAGTGGAGTTTGGGGCAGGTACGCACAAGGTGGTCGGGGTGGTGCGGAACAGTATATGAGGGTGCGTGATTTGGGAAGACCAAGTTATATTCTGAAGGGCAGAAACACGTGGGACCGAGGAGTGTTTGGGTCCACAGCGGCGCACGTGGAGCTTATCGGGCCCCCTCCGGAGGTCCTGGATTGCAGTCTGGACCGACAGAAGCAATTACGTCCGCATTAGGAAACAATTGTTAGCCCCAAAGAACACGGATTGCGAAATGAACTTTAAGAACACTTCGGTGCGGCGGGATTGGAGGGAAGCCAGAGAGCAGGACCACAGCTCGCAGGCCCGCGCTGCTCCGCCGACTTGGCGCGGCTTTGTGCAGCCCCGGGACCCGGGGACGGGCTCGGGGCTGGGGGCGTTACGTCATCGCGCCGGGGAGCTGGCCGGAGAGGCGGGGAAGCCCCCGCCCCCTCAGGCTAAAGAAAGCGCGAGTAGCTAGGTGGGCGGCCCCAAAACTTCAACCCCCGGCGTTGCCAGGCAATAGCCATTCAGTTCGGTTGCTGGGACACGCGTCACCATGGCGACGGCTCCGCGCCTAGCAGTCTGAGTATTTAAAGAGCAAGCGCGCGCAACGCCTGGGCGTCGGAAAGCGGCCTTCCGGGATATCGCTGTCTCCTTCTCCCTTTTTCCCTCCCCTTACCATCCCCTTCACCCTCTTCCGGCGCCAAGTCTCTCTGGCCTCCAAGGTGAACCCAACTCCCCAACGCGTCCTGGGTTCTCGGGCTGGTCCGGCTTCCAGCGGTGGAGAGCGGGATTCCGGGCCCCGGGCGGGCGGGAGGGACGGGACGCGGTGCAGTGTTGTTCTTTCCCCCGCCAATATTGCACTCGTCCCGGCCTCCGGCCCCCTCGGCCCCCCGGCCTCCCCCTCACCCCGAACGGGGCAGCCTCAGCCCTCCTGGCTGTCGATCCCGGCTGCTCTTAGACTGGAGTGTCGCCGCTGCCACCGTGAGTAAGTGGGGCTGGGAGAACTTTAGCCATCCTCCGACCAGCACCCCATCCTTCACCTAACCCCCGTCCTCCATCTAGTCCCTGTCCACACCTTTCTCACCAAACTCCCTCTAGATCTCTAACTTACATTCTACTAGTCCTCTCCCTGCCCCGGAAAATCCCTAAAATAAGTAACTGCACTGGCTTAGAAAAGAACTGAAACTTTATGGCAATGCGCTGTTATCTTTCCTGGGGTTAGTGCCTGAGAAATACCCCCTTGAAAACTTCCCATCTCCTGAACAGTGGGGTCACCACCCCTCTGGGGCTGAACTCGTGGTGGGTGCCAGAGGAGGGTCGGTGTTTAGCTGAGGGGCTGTAAATTAGACTCCAGGATGGACCCCAAGGCCCAAGGGTCTAAAATCAGGATTCTGAATCCAGTGGCCACCTCTTCACACTCTTCCCTGAAGCAGCTGCCTCCGGAATGGCTCAAAGTCCTCGGGCACTGTGTCTGAGAAAGGAGATATGATTAAGGTCAGAAGATGTGACTCTCCTGTGAGGGCACGAGAGGTCAGGCTGATCTCCGTCTAGAGCCTCACCATTGCATCGATACTGGAGATTGGACCAAATGATGTTTTCTTGGGAGAAGCAGAATACACCAAGACGCCCCCCTCGCATGGATGTGTCAATGATCACCCCAGAATCGGCCACTAGCTGGGGACCCTCATATAGCTTCACCCTGTCCGGGATAGGAGTGTCCATTGGTGCTAGGTGCTAGTGGGCACTGCGCCACCATTACCCAGCCCTGTTCATCCCCAACCCCCCTAGGGCTCACCGGGCCTGAGAGAGAAGGGAGGTGGGGAAAAGGGAGGAAGGAAAGGGGGGAAGGAGGGGTGCTTTTCTCAGGCCTGGGGCCCCTGGCTCTTTGTCCAGCCCCCTTTGCATCTCAAAGCACCAGCCGCATTCCGAGCGAGGATTGGGTTGCCATGACGATGAGTACAATGGGCTGGGGGGTGAAGTCACCCGCTTCCCAGGCTCTAGTCCACCCCCACCATCCCCTGCCCTGGCGCCCCACAGCCCCAGGCACCTTAAAGGGGAACCAACCCAAGTCCCTGCACTCCGGGCTCTGGGCCATTTCCCCTCCCTTCCCTGTCATCCCCACCAACTAGGAAATGCAAAGTTGTGGACCGAGAGCTGAACTGAGGCCTCAGGCTGGCTACTAAGAGGTGCAGTGCGGAGTCTGGGCTTCCGTTGGCTCTTCTGTAAATGATGATCCCTTCCTGTCAGACTCTGATGAGGCAGGTTCTGGGCTGGACTAGTGATGAGGTGGATTGATGTGCCTCTCCACAGACTGGCCTGGCCTTTGGAGGCTCCCAGATACACCTTCATTTTACAGCACGGCAAAAGGACTTGCCTAACATTGTTTATAGGTCCTTAGCAGCACCAGAGCCCAGGCTGCCTGATGTTAAGAAACAAGCGGGGCCAGGGCAGCTAGTCTGTAGTGAGAGGAGAGGTAGAGAGAGGTGGTTCCAGTCCAGGCCCATGGCACCACAGCAGTGAGTGCAGAGGAAGTCACTGGTGAATCCCAGCTGGAAAGGAAGGAAAGGCTGGGCCTGGGGTCTCTTGGGAGGGCTCAGCCCCTCCCCTCACCGAATATAGCCAACTTGAGGCCGGTGCAGCAGCTGCCAGCGGTAGGAGGTCTTGTCACGCCAGCCCACATTTCGTGGATCAGTCCACAGCAGTCGTACCTGATCAGGAGTATTGCCTGTATGCCACAAGGCGTTCCTGAGGTGCTCACCTGGGCCAGACACTGATGTCACTGCCTACGGGGCATCAGCAAAGACAGTGGGTCAACCACAGTACCGGAGTAAGGGAAGACAACAGGCTGGTAAGTGCAGGTGGAAAAGGGAGTCAGGAGAATATTCTGGAGCCCCAGGGAGCCCACCTCCAGGCCAGATGTCTGGGTAAGAGGCTTCCCTCTGCTCAGGCAGTGGGGGAGGCCCCAGGATTGGTGGGGGAGGCCTTGGGAAAGGGCCCTGGACTAGGGAATCTGGGCAGCTGTGGGACCTTGAGCTGCAGCCCTGGCTGGGCAACAGCCCGGAAAGGCGTGGCCTGCCAGTAGGTCTGCTCTGTTTGCTTCCACATGACCACGTAGAAGCGGCCGCTGTCCTGATAACTGAAGAGAAAGCCTGCGTAGTCGTCGTCGGTCACAGTGTTCACATGGAAGGTGCCTTCAAAGTCCACACCGTTGAAGGCTGTATATCCTAGGGGTGGGTGGGAGGGGAGATGGGATCAGGGGCAGGGGTAGCAAAGCTGCTAACACCCATTGTGGGGTGGGGGAGGGATGGGATGCCCAGTGGGGAGGCAGTGGCCCATCCTCTGCCTGTAGGACCCCTCCATTAGGAAATTATTGAAATTGCTGAATTGGGTGCCCCTTACATACCAACTGCCAGGCCGGGGTCACTGTTCATGGTCTGAACAATTTCCATGCCCTGGTGGTGTGCAGTAAAGACAAAAGTCCTGGTTCCAGTGTGCTGCCTTCCCTAGACTCTGCCTACTAGTCAGGTCTGACAGCACCCACCCCGCTCACTGCCCTAGTACCTGGTTGAGCACGACCCAGTTGGGGTCAATCTGAGCATCACCCTCAGGATCCAGGACCACGGTCTGATAGGCACGAAAATCCGTGAGGGTTACCTCTGCACTTTCAGGACACACATCCAGGGGGTCGACCACTGCATCGTTGTCAAAGTCATCCTCACACACATCACCAACGCCATTGCCTGGGCAGGATGAAGCCAGGTGCTCAGCGAGGCCCTGGCCACTGCCACTAGCCAACACTACCACCTCAGGCCTTGAGGTGCCAACCTCTCCCCAGCAAGGCTTGCCACCTCTCCTTGAACAAACCCCACAGCAGTCCAA